GAACTAGTCATGTTCTCCTGCTCCTCGCTCCTGCCCTGCCCTGCTCCCTGCTCCTGCTCCTGCTCCCTGCTCCTGCTCCTGCTCCTGCTCCCTGCTCCTGCTCCTGCTCCTGCTCCTGCTCTGCTCCTGCTCCTGCTCCTGCTCCTTGCTCCTTGCTCCTGCTCCTGCTCCTGCTCCTGCTCTTGCCCTTGTTCCTGCTCTTGCTCTTGCTGATGACAAAGATGATGTGGAAGACGTCGTTGTATTCAAACATGTTGTCCTCTCGCTGTAAATGTTTGAGATTTATGAATCAGGTGCAGTTGGAGTATCTCGAGGTGAAAGAGGGTCTGCGGGTGCTGGAGGAGGAGGCAAAGGATATCAAGAGCGAAGAAGAACGACTGCTGAACAAAGAGAAGAAGGTAATGCTCCCGAATATCTCCGAGATAAGACATGACCATGATGGAGATGGAGATGGTTACGATGATGATGATGATGGAGAAGGAGATGACGATGATGATGATGGTTGTAATGATAAAGGAGATAGTAATAGTGATGATGTTGTCATTGTGATTGACGACGATCACCACCAACAAAAACAAAAACAAACACAAAAACAATGTGATGACGATGACATGATGAAAAGATGACGACGACGATGTTCATGCCCGTGTCGATGGAGATGAAGTGACGAAAACTTGACAGATCGCGAAGTTGTCGAGGTTGAACGACTCGTTGATGAAGCAGGTGCTTCATCCCTTGACGATCTTCTCTCTCTGTGGGCTGCTCACTCCCGCTTCCTCCCCGTCAGATCGGCAAGTGGGAGACAGCACTGCAGAGCAAGTCAGACGCGGTCGACGAGCTCAACGAGGTCATTGCCAGCTTGTCATCCCAGAAGAAGCAGCTGGAAGAGACGGTTGTCCAGCTGAACAAGAGGTGAGAAGGAAGTCGATCGCCCGTCCTGACTCGTCACCCTTGAGATGCGACGCTGTGAGCGAGCATCTCCGCAAGAGCAACTCTCAGCTCAACGTCCAGTCTGCGCGCCTGCGCTCCCTCATCGACTTGTCTTCGGCTCTTGCGCTCTCCGTCCTCCCTCTGGCCTCGATCCCGGAGGAGAACAGGCGCATGTACGTCGGCTTCCTGTACAGGTGAGGAGACTGACGAGGGAACGAGGAGGGAGGAGGAAGAGGAAGGGGAGTGGAAGAGAAGGTGGAGGGTGAGAGTGGGAGCTGAAGGATTCGAGGATTAGCAAGAGCAACACAAGAAATCTAAGGAGGAGGAGGAGGAGAGGGATGGGAAGGAAGGGCAGAAAAGGAGCAGGAGATGGAGATGGAGATGGAGATGGAGATGGAGATGGAGATGGAGCAGAAGCAGGAGGGACAGAGAAAGAGGACCAGGAGGGGCAGGGAAGGAGGGAAGGAGGGACAGAGAAGGAGGGAGGGAGGGAGGGAAGGAGGGAGGAGCACTGATCAGGTGAGAAGGAGGGAGGGAGGAGGGAAGGAGGGAGGAGCACTGATCAGGTGACAGGGAGTGGATGCGAGCTGAAAGCTTGATGCTCGTCTCAACGATCAGGTTGCAGAAATGTGTGCGAGGACACATAGGACGCAGTCGCTTCAAGAGGTGGTGGACCCCTCCCCTCCTCTTCTTATTCACCACCACCTCTCCTCCTATCCTCTTCTTATTCACCACCACCTCTCCTCCTATCCACCACCACCTCTCCTCCTATCTACCACCACCTCTCCTCCTATCTACCCGATACCTTCTCACCTCCTACCTACTACCACCACCTCCTCCGATTTTATCTCTTCATCCCATCCACCACCACCTGCTCCGCTCCTCCTCCTC